GTGGGTGAGTCTCTAGAACTCCCAGTAAATCTGACTGTGGATGAGGGAGTGTCTTCTTTCCAAGTTCACATCCCACCCAATCCTAGGGCTGTTTTTGTTCCCTCTCTTCTGATCCAGCATCCACTGGCCTGAACACAGTAAGCTTAAACCCGGGTGCAATTCAGCAGCTCATTTCAGTTGGCCCACAAAGTACTGCAGGCTAGGAGGCTGCTCAGAAGGGGGCCAATGTTTATTTAATGGGGGAGTGCAGATCTGGTGGCTGCCCACCCTAGCAAGTTTCCTCCCATCCCCATTAGAAGATGAGAGACATATTTCTGTCTGAAACAGTTGCCGCCCATCCCAATGACACAAAACTACCTTCGACCTGACTGGGAAGTTTCAATATTAGGTACTGACTTGGGAAGATAGAATGCACTTGGAACCTGGAAGTCTGGAAGCTGTCTGAGCCCCAAAGCCATAGCGCTCTCTGTACACCAGGCAAATTCTAAGTGCTTTACACACATTAATTCATTTACTTCTCACAGCAACCCTTTGAAGCTACTAAGAACAACAGCCTAGTTGTTGTTAAGTGCTGTTGAGTCAATTCTGACCCATAGCGACCCTGTATAGGGTTTCCAAGGAACAGCTGGTGAGCTTGAACTACCGACCTTTGCAGTTCAAACGGCTTTGCAGTCTGATGCATTAGCCCACAGCGCCACAAGTACCGATTATTCATCTGTAAATTGGAGGCAAAAACACCTGTCTGAGTTTTATTATTAGTCCCTTTGTTGTTGTTGTGTGCAGTCAAGTTGATTCTGACTTATAGTGACCCTGCGTAGGGTTTCAGAGAGCAGCTGGTGGGTTTGAATTGCCAACCTTGTGGTTAGTTAGTGTGGTCAGCAGTCCAGTGCCAATCCTATAGTGCCACACCAGGGATCATGATCCACTTTACAGGGGATAAAATTCAAACAGTGACATTTTTTTTTTTTTTTTTTGTAACCAAGGACAACAGCTAGTAAGTACCAATTATTCATCTGTAAATTGGAAGCAAAAATACCTGTCCAACATCCACATAACACAAGGCATTCTATAGACCATCACTCCTATGCAGTCACAATGAACCAGTATTTCATAATCTGGAAACTGTTACAATACTGTACAGATTCTATCGATCACTCATCCATCAGTTTGTCATACTGTGGTGACCTGTGTGTTGCTATGATTCTGGAAGTGACACCACTGATATTTTAAGTGCTACCAGGGTCACCCATGGTGGACAGGTTTCAGCTGAGTCTCCACACTAAGACAGACTAGGAAAAAGGAGAGCAGACTACTTCTGAATGTTTACTTTATAAATAGCAGC